TAATATATACGTCCATACATACATACATATATATATATACATATAGATATCATGATACAATACGTTATATAATGGGATTGGGTATGATTTAACATAGTATAACAGAACAGAACAGATGTTTATATATACATATATATATATGTATACATGCACGTGCCACATGGGTCTAAGGCGATGTTTTTGTCACACAGCGTCTTTGCTATATAGGGTCCTAGCCAGAGGTTTTCAGACGGTAAAGATAGCAGCTGAATGGGTACATGGATAGATGTAGAACAAGGGAAGTGGCAAGCAAGCGCTTCAGAATAGAAGCCTCGGCTTGCCAAGCCACTCCTTCCAACCCACCATTATAGTAATATAAAGTGCAGATCGTGTCGCACCGACATGTTTCAAACCTGTTCAGCACCATTTGCTTCAAGATGGGAGCACCGACGCTTACAGTAGCCCTGATGGCAGCTTTTGATGCATTTATCAAATCCTTGGATTGCCCTGTCGTTAGCATGCATGCCTTGACAAGGAGGTCCACCCAAATCAGCATTGAACCAATCCCTTTCATTCTTCGTGTTTTCGGCCGCTGAGGAGAAATCCAACACTCTTCCAACATTGGATATGCGCCCGGGTTTGCGTCAAGGCTCCCGTTGGAGTGAGACATCTTCAGTTGGCCTTTTTGATGCACACCGTGGAGAAGTGTCAGTCGTGCGTCTGTCGGAGTCGAACTCCATGCCAGCATTGAGACCTGAAGCCAAATACGCAGGGGTTGTAAGGTTGACTTCTTCCTCAGCGAAGCGGGAGATAGTCGTCACTTGCGAATGCCTTTGGAAGCTTTGGAAGCTGTGCTCACCTGAGACTGCTCCCTGTCCTCGGCTGGACCTTTGCTCTTCAATTAATCCCCACCTGATGTGTGGGAAAAAGATTTCGGAGTTCTGTCCAACGTTGCCGCTCAGTGACTTGCGCCTGTTAGTACGGGACTCGATCCATTTTAGTTGGTGGCAGCCCCTCAAGCAGACCTGAACCTCCGAAGACTGCGACATGGAGTTACAGATAAGGAAGTGCAGACGGGCTCATTTGCAATCAGCAATGGTTGAAGGTGACCTTGCAGGTAGACTGAAAGACGCAACAGGCTCCAACATCCGCTCCTCTAGCCTCCGAAGGCACTCCGGAATATGCGGATTCGCAGTGCCGCTTGTGTGCACCTCGTCGTGCCAGATGTTGCGCTGTCTTTAACTTTCCAGTCTTGTGCTGGATCGGGTCAGGCTTGGGGGGACTTTGGCTGTTTGTTGCGGCGGTGCCGAGAAGGACATAGCCCTGGCGAACAGATAGCGAAGCCATGAGAGAATTCTCAGTTCATGCATATCATACCCTCCAGCCTGCAGCATATGAATCCGACCGTCGCGGGCAGGTGGAGTTCGTTCAGCGAGCTGCTGCTGGAATGAAGCCGAATCTTCAGCTGCAAGAGCGTTTAAGTTTGGCTTTGTGGTTTTCGAGTCATGTGCAGCACCTATGCTTCTCCTGAAAATGTATTGGGAACTGTTGACCCGAGTCATCTTCAACTTGCTTGTCATCTTATGTCCTGGAAGTCCAGCTTTCCAGCCCTCCTTGCATTGACCACGATAAACGACTTCCACCCGACGCAGGAAAGCTTTCTGCAATGCCATTCCCAGCATGTACCAGCAGCAGAGGGCGTTCTGCAGCTCAGACTGGTTTGGCCGTCGTTGGAACCTTTGGAACCTTGAGGCGTGTAGAAGGCGTCCGCGTGGTCTGTACGCTTTCGAGAACTTCCGCCGAATCTGAAGAGCGCCAGTAGACTTGGGCGAGAGCGGCTTGTACTAGTGCCAGCTTTGAACCCCAGCTTCTCCTCGAACTTCAGGTAGATGCTGTATCACATGTGAGACCCTTTCGTAGTCAGGCTGGCTTCCGCGGCAATTTGTCCATACTTTTCCACAGGTCATGCCGACGCTTGCAAATAGCGGCTGTGTCACAGGGCTATGCTAGACCAGAAAAATTCAGAAAAGGTTCGAACCCCCACCTGCTGTGCAATGTGCAGTTTCGGGGCAGCATGCCATCCCAACCTAGTAGGTGCTTTGTTTCAGCTTAATTAGATGTTTTTTCAGGTTAATTTCTGAGAATCTGAGAAACAGACTTGTTTGGCCTGACATGTTTTGCCATGGGGGCCCCAACCCTACAGGATGTGGGGGTTATGGTTTGTTGAGTTGGTTGCTTGGAGTGCCCAGCCGCTTGTCTCTCTCCTCGTGTCAGGCCAGTCGTCGTGAAGGTTTGCCTGCCGTGTGCGAGCGTGAGGGTCGAAACCCCAACAGCCTTGGCAATGTACTGCCTGAGGGGGGATCTAGTTTGCACTCCGGACTTATAACTTGGTTGCATCTCAGGCGAAGGCACATTGGAAGAGATGATGGCGGCCATCCCAGGTATCAAGCGTCTTGGCCTGTCAGCTTGAGCTTCGGGTCTTGTATGTACATTAACCTGACTGGTTACATTAAAGGGCTGCATGCCGACAGCTGCTGGGTTCGGCAGCGCAGGAATGCCTTCCATACTAGTTCTACAACTGTCGCACGAATGCCTGCCGATCCAACGGTTGTAGCCCGAGAGCATGGCTAAGCATGGCGACAAGACGTTGGAGCCAAAGCCAGTGCTACATATTGCTACATGACATCAAGTTACAAAGGCCATGGAGTTAGCGAAAATACCATTTTGCCTAACTCCCTTACCCCAGAGTAGAGGTAAATGTACCTCTGTACTGTGTATACATAGACCTTCACAGGGGTCCTAACATAATGACTTCAGGGGCCAAAGTGCACCCGACACAGGGCTTAGGGCCTCACATTCCCTTCGGGTTCGCCAAGGAATGCGCAGGAGCGGGCCTTTTGGAGCGGTTGGTTCGGCGGCGAATGGTCTGCCGGATTGGCTGGCAATGCCTGCAACCGGCTTTGTCAGGTGCCGGGGCTTATAGGGGGGGCAGAGGTTTGTGGTCAGCTTTCCTTGCGTAGGGCGTAGAGTTTGTTTCTTCAAGTTGAGGTTGAAGGGGTAGTGACTCTAGACTGGTGATTATGGCTCTTTTGCTGTGCAGGGTGCGGTGAAGCGAAATCCTGCTATCAAGAAGACCCTGAAGAACCCCTCGCCGCTGCTGATGGCAGGCACAAAGGGTTCTGAGGGGTGCGCTAGTTATTTTCGATTGGTCTTGCATCGCACTCTTCTTTGATCCCGGATCGTGTCGAAGTCCAGACCCACTATGGTTTTGATTTCTTTGCCAGGCAGTTTCCCAAGCGTGAAAAGCCGCGAAGGGAATGACTTTCAGTTTTGGACAGCTCTCCCATCTGTGCCCGGCAGCATCAATTGTGCTGACGTTTCTCTGGGACGAGTCGCTGTGAAGCCTTGCCTGGCCTGTGCGAGTTGCGAGCGTCGAAGCAGGCCCCCACCCCCAAGCACCACCTCTGTGCCTCACCATGCAAGTCTTTGTGAAGCATACTTCGCGAGATTCACACGCATCCAATCCCGGGCCTGAGATCGCAAATCTCAGACCTTGCATCTTTCCAGCTGTTTGCATCAAAGCACCGAACAGTGAGTGATGGAGTCCAACTGAAGACTTATATAGCATTACATGTGCTGAGCCGCGCATGGGTCTGCAAAACAAAAGCCTGGCTTTCAACCGGCCGCACTCCAAAGCACGTAAACGCTAGATGCTGACCCGTTTTTCCGAATCTGAGCACCGGTCATGTTTGATGATGAAGGCTATTTGGGGGGAGTTTCTCTAGCATCGGTGTTGGCATCGCAGAATATCACAGGATAGCACATGAGTCACAGGCATCTTTGAAGTGGCAGATGCGTATCTTTGAGATGACCCACGTGTTTTGCATGGTAACGAAGGCAGAAGATAGTTTTGTAGCAAAGGCGAGGACAGTGAACCCGCTCCACCTGGTGAAGCTTCGGAGCCCCTTGTCAGAGGTGTTGGTGCACACGTGTCTGTACTGAAATCGTCCTTTAGTCCAAGTACGCTCCTACAGTTGTCGTTTTCTCCTCCATTGCTTACCTGCAGTGCTCGCGATATTGATGTGAGAATGGTGCAGATAGATGACTCTGGGCCGGGGGGGGGGGGGGGGGNNGGGGGGGGGGGGGTGCGACCTTCAGGTCCGAAGAGCTTACCTTCTGAAGCTTATCCTTCTATAACTGGTCTAGAGGATTCTAGCTCGGTAGCGGAACGTGGCATCAGTCCGGCGTGATTGCGGTTTTCTGCATCCGTGTCTTGTTCCAGGAACTGGCAGCCCGCGGCCATGGACACTATAACGCGCCTTTTGTCGCATCTATTGCCCCAGCTTTCCGCATATCCATGGGATCACTCCATGCCAGAGAGAAAGATGTACGTAGGTAGAAAATGTGCGTATGTACACTTATCAGGTTATGCTGGGCCTTGGGTGCACTGCAGGGAGGGAACGGTCGCCACAGCTTTGGCGTAGATTATAGCATATAGTTGTATTGGCACCGCAAGGGGGATGCTATGTCAGTTTGTTCGGAGCATTGGAGGAAGAAGACGAGGACTGGTCATTGCCATGTTGTAAGGGGTACGGCACCGGGATCTGCATATGCCACCGATATTGTCACGATTCGTCTCGACTAAACAACTGCTCCCCCGCTCGCCCGTCGCTCGGGATAGATGGGGTGTGTGCCACATCTGTTGTTCATTGATGTTCATGGACATGGACTGGAAAAAAGAAGTGCACATGTTGGGTTGCTTTCTGCCGTCTCTTGCTCTGCAAGGCTCAGCCAGATGCATGAACATCAGACCTCACATATCGGCGGTTTTTCGGGGACAAGCAAGGAGCCCCTAATTCTGGAATCTCGTTGCGCATACGCGCAAGGCTCCACAGTGCCATATACTATACACTGTCAATGTAAGTTGAGGTTCGAATGGCTCCACAACACCCGTTTTGTTTGGCAAGTTTTTGTGAGACGTCCAACGTGGCGCAAACATGGTCAGCTGAAGCTGCCCGGCCATGCGGGTGTTTTGGCAGCTTTGGCCGCTCTTTCTTCCTGTCCCTGGGATCTGCAGTTTCGCCCCTTCCGACAGATCCGAGCTAAGAGCGGCGCTGCGTCAGCGACTCTGCAGCATCTCAGGGGATTGCCAGGCGCTGGGGCGAAGTCCATCCTCTCCTAACAAGATCGAGATTTGTACAAGTCAGCCCACCGTACTTGGAAATGGAAGAAGAGTTGTGATGTTCCCTCCACGTTCCCTGCAACATCCTCCCCTCTCCCCCACCCCCGTCAGTGCGCGGAGAGGCGTCAATTTGAAACGCGTACAGGGGTCAATTTGCAACGCGTAAAAGGAGTCAGTTTCAAACGCGAAGGTGTCAATTTGAAACGCGTACAGGGGTCAATTTGAAACGCGTAAAAGGGGGTCAGTTTCAAACGCGAAGGGGTCAATTTGAAACGCGTTCGCATACTTTAGTATTCGTTTAGAGGGCTGACACGACGTATACGGGTGTAGTTTGGTTTCTTCGGTTTCTTTGGTTTCTTCGGCGTCTTCGGTTTCTTTGGCTTCCGTGATTTCTTTGGATTCTTTTGTTTCTTTGGTGTCCGTGGTTTGGTTTCTTCGGCTTCTTTGGTTTCTTTGATTTCGAGCGACGAACGTTGTTAAGGTTGGCCAGGTGGGTGCTCTCAAGCGACGGACGTTATTAAGGTTGGCCAGGCGGATGCTCTCGAGCGACGAACGTTACTAAGGTTGGGCAGGATGCTCTCGAGCGACGAACGTACGAACGTTATTAAGGTTGGCCAGGTGGATGCTCTCGAGCGACGAACGTTATTAAGGTTGGCCAGGTGGTGAACCCTAGACCCGTAAACCGTAAACACTAAACAGTAAACCCGAAACGCTGGCCTCAGCGGAAAGGATGACCAAGTCCATGAATGTCAACAAGCCAATCAGCCAGCCAGAGCCAGCCAGACAGCCACGCAGCCGGCCAACCAGCCAGCCTGAGCCGCTGTCAGCTAGCCAGACAGGTAGCCCGACCAGAAAACTTTCTGTGTTTCAAATTGACCCCTTACCCATCCTCCACCCCCGTCTCCCCCCGAGTGTGCGGGCGCGGGAAAACGTGGCGACCCGAGGTGGCACGAGGCCGATGAGGCGGCGAAGCAGCAGCTGACCGAGCGCCTCGGGGCACCCGGCACGTGGAACGTCTCCGCGGTCACCAACATGAGCCGTGGCTGGCGTAAGAGAGAGAGAGAGAGTGAGAGAGAGACGCCCGCATTAAGCTTCAGGTGGCGAGCCATGTCCAAGGTCCCCCGGTCTGAAGCGGGAGTCCGTTGGGGCTGTGATGTGTCAGGTCACATCAACTTTTTCTATTTTGCCACAGTACTGGAAACATCTCTGTGTCTTTGGCCTTTGGCCCCTTTGGCAGTCGGTTGTCAGGCAAATTGCCCGCATCTCCTTTTTCATCCTTTTTCTATAAGACATCTCTTCCAAGGAGCGGAATCTTCAAAGGGCTCCGGGACTTCAACGAGGACATCGGCAGCTGGGAGACCTCCTCCGTCCTGGACATGACGAAAATGTTCTACGGAGCCACCGCCTTTAATAAGCCTATAGGCCTCTCAGCGGACAGTAGTATACACGGCGTCGACCAAGATCTTTCTTGCGCAACGTCCTCCCCCCACCCAACACCCAACCTCCAGCTCTTTTCCCCTGTTGGATCTGGTGCAGACGTTGGGTCTTAACCACGTCTGCTGATCTTGTTTTTGACGAGTTCCTGTGGGTCGAATTCATGCAGTGGTTGTGTGTTTCCGTTATACATCTCATGACACTTCACAGGTGGGGCTTCTCGCAACTTGTGTTCCTCTCATTTTGCAAGGATAGTGAAGTTGTTTGACTTCAACTTCTTTTGCCGGCCAGATGTTGCGAAAATTTGCAACCGCGCTTCCTCTCTTTTCGCCATCAAAGGTGCCTGGGATACATCGCAGGTTGCAAGCATGAAGGGCATGTTTTACAAGGCTGCCAGCTTCAACCAGCCGGTAGGATCTTGGAACACCAGTTCTGTTCGCGACATGGGTTTCATGTTTTATGGTGCGACATTATTCGACCAACCAATTGGCGATTGGGATACATCGCAGGTTGCAACCATGGGGAACGTGTTCACTGCGGCAGCCACCTTCAACCAGCCCATTGGTTCTTGGAACACCAGCTCCGTTCGCAATATGGAGCAAATGTTCCGCAATGCGACCTCCTTCGACCAACCAGTTGGCGATTGGGATACATCGCAGGTTGAAACAATGAAGGACATGTTCCATCAGGCTACCGCTTTCAACCAGCCAATTGGATCTTGGAACACGAGCTGCGTTCGCGACATGGGTTACATGTTGTATGGTGCGACATGTTTTGATCAGCACATTGATGACTGGGACACGTCGCAGGTTGCAAGCATGAAGTGCATGTTCTACAAGGCTGCCAACTTCAACCAACCAATCATTTCTTGGAACACGGGCTCCGTTCGCGACATGAGTTACATGTTTTATGGTGCGACATCTTTTGATGAGCCCATTGGTGATTGGGAGATATCGCAGGTTGCAAGCATGAAGAGCATGTTTTACGAGGCTGCCAGCT